CAAGGGGCATAAGCAAGAACATGGCAAGAGTCTACTTGAATTCTGCCGTAACTCCCCAGCCATCTGTAATTTATGGCCTGTCAACATGTTTGCAATCAGCAAAGAAGCAGCTAGAGCCCTTCCCCATCATTTAAATTCATCTGTCCCAAACACACACTCAGAATGAGTCCCAGGCTGAAGAGGTCTGCCGAGGTCTGCAGACCCCACGTGAACAGGTCAGTCATCATGGAGCAATGGGAGACATGTGTCTACGACAGACGGGCACAGCAGCCTCCGTAATCAACTTACTCATCTGCTCCTGTTCCATAACACAACCTGTCTGCTCAAAATCATGTGGAAAATCCGGGGATGACTGGGCAAAGGCTTCACACATGGAGTGACTCACATACCGCCTGTGCTGCTCAGAATTTTCTCAAGCCCTCATATCCTGGGAAACTGGCAAAAAAAAACAACTTATTCCAAATATTAAAAGAGAAAAAGGTTGAAACACGCTAGTGCAGATCCAGCCTACACAGTGATCCATCACATGCAACAGCGGTCTCTTCTCTGGCTTCAAGAGGCTCTGGCTGATTATCAGGCCAAAAGTTAAGGAGAAGTAAGAGATCACCAACTTCTAAATTTAGAGCGGCTTTGATTCAGTCATACTCCCTGATGCTAACAGAGGACAGGACAACAGCCACAAAACACTATTGTGTTTTCTGTACGCCACCACAGCAGGTCGGCTCTGCTGTTACTAACACTACAAACACTGGACGCAGAGGAGAAAAAAAACATAAGGACCAATCACCTTGAAATACAGCTTCTCCACAGGACGCCAAACACCATTTAACTGGGTGCCTAAACTCACATGCATGAGCAACCTGACTAAAAGCAGGCTGGGATGAATCGAGCACCAGCTTTGTTAGATCAAGGCTCAAAGGGCGAATTGAGCCTTGTCTGGAAAGCACAGCTCTGATCTGCAGTATGGTCACAAAAACGCTTCTCCCAGCTGAAGTTACATACCTCCTAGCTCCTATTCCAGTGCGAATTCCAAGGAGTAAATTGTCTGGGGATGAGGCAGATAAGGGGAAAAAGGAGAGGAGAACACACAGGGCAAGTCTACACTGTACAGTGGAGCACAACACAGTACTGGGACAGCAGTGCTGGGAAGCTGGACTGCCCTCTCCACACATGCTAAGAAGCGCAGATAATATATAACAAACCAAAGACCAACACTATGTAAAACTCTGACAGAGCAAAATCCAGGAACATCAATCAGCTGGTCAGTGGCACGCATGTAATAGGCCTGTAGGAACACAGCGCTCCAAGTCCATGTAAGGCAAGCAGAAGACAGTGGAGGAGTGGGATGTGCTTCCATCACAGCGCTTGGAGGGGAAAAAAGGATGAGGAATTGTTGTAGTCTGTGGGTTGTTACATTTGTCCCCTACATAACTTGAGGCAGCCACGTCCTCTTTACATCCTCAAGATGGGGAGGTGGCACAGGACTACGTGTTCCCCTCCCTGCTGTGGCCAACATGCCACCAGCTTGCAGGGGACAGACCTCAGCGATGGCTCAGTAAAATGCAGTGGAGCACTGAAAGGAGCTAGGAGGCAGACCCAGAGGCCTGACCTTTAACTCTTACTGACTGCCACTTTTTCCAGGAACTCATTAAAACTGCAATTAAAATGAAGTTTCAGGTGGATGTTTCTGCCAAAATACATATATATGTGTGTGTGTGTAAATAAAAGCCCCTCTTCATAACAAAGGGAATCATGTATCCACAACTTTAAACTTGTTTTCTTAAGTACTTTCAGAACGGGAAATGTATTAGATCCGATCCTTCCCCACGAAGGTCTCAATTTCAACAATATTTTCTAATAAAAACTCTTTCATGGAAACATTTGTGGCCAGTTTGCATTTTATTCTATTCCTAGAACATGCAGCACCTTATGGGCCTGAAGCAATATGGCAGTTGTGAAGAATTTACCTTCCCCCACACTAAAGTAAGCAACAGTTTTGCTTAAGGACCCTTCTGTCACCCATCAACTGGAAATGTTCTAGCTCATATTTGATTCCTGGCAGCAAAGGGTTTCAGAGCTTCATGGAAAAGGGCTGAGGGTCATAGCTGACTGCATCTCCCCAGATTCAGAACTAAGCCTTGACACTTAGACCTGATTTCACCATTTCACCACTCAAACAAACCAAAAGCCAAGCCCAGAGGCCTGCCAGTATCTCTGGACCTATTTTTACCATTCTCTGTTGCTGTGAGTCTACTTCGCAAGTGAGGTTGGTTAATCAAGCAGGTCTCAATGAGTATTATTCTGCTTTTTGATGCCCTCACAATGTCTGTGTCCCACCAGCCTCTGAAGGGAGACAGTACATGCAGACACCACTATCAAATTCATATCAGGACAGGAAGGACAAAGTCACAGATAGGAGAAGATGGGATTATCTGCTTGGCTGCTGTTCGCTCTGAAGACGTTGCAAAGTCCAGGGCAGTAAAATTTCCACTGAGCTTGCATTTTCTGTGATGTAACTCTTTAAAGTGATTTAAAATAAAAAGTGACTCAAGTCACACTCCTACTGTTAACAGCACAGTAGGATGGAAAGAGTTCAAAGTAGCTGCTCTTTGCTCAAAAGCAGGATATTCTTGGGTACCACATTCTCATTGCTTCACCTCTTCCATGTCCAAACTGCATCTCAGGCTTAGAACCAGGTGAAGCTAGTTCCACCCTGAATGCAGAGTCTGGATGCATCCACGCTGGATGCAGGGAGTTTGGTCAGTGCGTCAGCAAGCACGATATTTACCCCAGACTGAATCGCATAACATGACTGTAAGAACCCAGGTTTCAGCTCTAGCATTGGTACAGGATGTACCTTCTCAGGAATTGGTTTTGATGTGTTTAATTTGCTGTTATCAGGGCCTGATTCCAAGTCTCTTCTGCAATCAGCAGAATCACCACATAAACTCACACGCTTATGTGCTCACTTCTGCCACGTCTTTTGGTGAGAAAGAAAACATTCTGAAATCACACGGATGGTTGTCAACACAAGCTTACTATGACTTTGATAAAGGCTGGGTCAGATACAGCCTGCATTCAGCTTCCAGGTACGCCTTCAGGATAAGTTCAGTAGTGATACAAGCAGCAACACAACTTAATCACCGGTACGAAAATGTAAGCTGTTAAATATTATCACTATCCTGTTAGGAGACAGGAGCAAGGAAGAGTGTCATTTAATGGCCAAAGGTAGGTAATTGTAAGAAAAGACTATACTAGTGCATAAATTGTAAGAAGGAATTCAGCACCAGCTTATGATGTTGCAGTGAGATGATGCTGCAGGCACCTGCTTGGGACTTCCTTTAGTACAAAACTGGCTGAGTTGTAAACCAATGTCCCAGAAGTAACACTGACTCCAGATCCTGAGCCACCACAACATTTACCCCTGATGTCCGGTTAAGCAATCTCAAACACAAGCAGTAGCTGAAGACTTAAGATTTCCACTTCAATATTTTCCCACTAGAAACTTTTACACCCAGTCATGCCCTGCCAGCACTCAGCTGTACCCTGCTGCTGCTTTTATCACCACACACTTTCAAGAAGCAGGAGAAGGGTCTGCAAATAGACGCACACCAAAACAGACTGCCACAGAGCACCATCTCCAAGCGACCAGACGTGCTCCAAGTGAGCCCCGCAGAGCAGGCTCTCAGAAAAATGGGAAGCTCCCCTCACTGAACTTTTGGAAACCCTCCTGTTCCCGGTCTAGAGGCACACAAGCAAAAACACAGGCCACAGCGTCACTCCACCAGAGCTGCTCCCTGGCTGCTGCCGTATCTTCTCCAGCAGGCAGCAACCTCCCTGCCACCTGAAGTCCTTACATAGCTCACAGAGAACAGATCCTCCAAGCGCCTCGGCATGGAACACGCTGGGAGATGCCCCAGGCGCAGGCAAGCAGGACAGCATGGTGGCAGTGCTCATGGTGTGTTTTGAGAAGGGCATGCTAGCATGAGGCTGGCACCAGCCCAGCTGCCAAGTCACCCAGGGCAGCTGCCTGCCAAAGCCAGCCCTGAGGACTCATTTCCCCACCAGCAACTTCTGCAATGTTTGGGCTCCTCACTGTTTACCTTAAGCCCCAGGCACTTCTGCTAACCCAGTGAAGGTGTGGAAGAACCCTGTGACTCTCATGTTGATGAGCACAAGCTCAGCAACAGCTTCACTGCAACTCCCTGCCTGGCACAAGCCTCCTCTTATCTGTGGGCCCTTGGCAAACAGGGTGCTGCTGGCTCTCTCAGGCTAGCCTTTGCCTCCACCACCTACCTCTGTTTATGTTACTTTCCCAACACACTTGCAAATATGATAAAGGTTAATCTGGTACAAAAGGTAAATAGGGTTACACAAAGCTGGATTTAGCAATTTAATTTTATTGGCCACTAAGGAAGGCAATTCTTCGATGCAGGTAATGAGGAGATAGCCAAGCCAGATAAAGGATCTGTGCAATATAAATATCCTCCCCAAAGCCTGCTCCCTGCTTGCATAAGTGCTGTAATCATGAAAGCAATTCTTAATGGAGCCACTTGGCAGAGGCCCTGGTACAGCAAGCTGTGAGCCTCTCCCTGGCTGATGGACCCGCTCCAACAGCATGTTACTACAGTGCTGCAATGGGGGAGGAGGAGCAGCAGGAATGGGAAGAGACAGAAACCTGGATTGAGGCTGCAAGCAGTGGCCCTGGAGCAGAGCCAAGGCTCCTCTAACACATCACCCGTGTGGCTTTGAGCAGGCCAGTTATCCCTCTGTGCTCAACTCTGCATCTGTAAATTGAAATTGATGATCTTCCCTTTGTGCTCCGTCTTCTGAAGGTAAACTCTTACAATGAAAGTCATTTCTTACAAATAGGTAAATGGAAAAGTGTGACTGTCACTCAACCTTGCAATAATATTCTAGCTAAGTGACCTCTCATTTTTCCTGACCTTCCAATTCGTCCTTTGCCTAAAAAAAAATGAAACCAAAACAAGATCCAAGTTTTCTGCACCAGCATCCTGCCATCTTTCACCTCTCTGTACCAAAACCTAGGACAATCCACAAGCCTCACCAGGAAACCTTTTGCACCCTGTGTTTTGTGCTGCTTGATTTTGTTTTCTCCTTTGCTTTCAAATGTAGGATGTTCCCCCAAGGAGCACCGAAGTACCAGGCCTGCCCTGTCCCTCAGCAGAGGGACTGGCATTTCACCCTTCCTCATTGCATGCCTTCCCATCATGGTAACAGCCTGGGCACTACACAGCAGGATGCAATCCTCAGCAGAATCCAACTGTTGCAGAGCTCCTTTCCTGGCAGCCCCAGGACTAATACACTCAAGGCAGGGGGGACTCTTGGGAGAGTCCCTGTCCCTGTATTTGCCATGAAAGGTAAAAGAAGAAAGTGAAGTTTACTTCACCCTGAAAGTCACTAACAGCAAGTTAAGAGACTTGCTCCTCTTGAACTGCTTCTCCTCTTTCAAGAGGGCAAAGGGGACCTCATTCCCGTAACAAACAGTTTGCATTTACCAGCTGCAGGACTGAATCAGAGTCTAGGCATTCACTCAAATATCCATTATGCTGATTTCCAATGCCATACATTAAGAATTCCTCCTCGCCCGCACTCATTTAGCTTTCAGCAGGGATTTTCATTACTCCGGCCCAAGGATTTTCCCTATCTCTAAAAAACTGCTGATAAACGACCACCTTGGGAGTAACAGTTACCTATTGAGAAGTATTAGACTAGAACCAGTGAGAGCTGCTTTTGAGTCCACAGCTTGCCACTGGTAAACTGGAGCTGTGCGACTGAACTCTGTATGCTTTCCTGCCCTCTGTACAACACAATGAAATGTGCTTCCATAGACTGCTTGAAGATCTATGAATCTATGAAAGTGCTACATGACAATCTGAGGTTATTACACAAAGCAAGACCCACACTGGTCTATGTAACTGGCCATTCACCAGCTGTACCAGAGAGGCCAGTAGTGTTATACTGGCCAACAAGGAATCCCCTCCAGCTGGCAGGCAGAACACGTTTAGACTAACTCCACTTCTGGACTTTGAGGGAGGTTTTTTTCAATGGGCAAGTTAAAACTGACCTTTTGCAGAAGTATGATTCATGCCTGTAAGGATTGTGGGCCTTTTGTTTCAATTTGGAGCTTGATCTTAAACCTTCTGAAGCTAACACAACTGTCCACATCAACATCAATACACCATCCAGCAAGAATCCGCTCACCCAGACAGCCCCACTGGCGCCATAAAGATGATGGGCTGCTGGTATCGGACTGGGGCCTATATAGAGATGGCAATTTTATGTTCCATCCCTTAAAAAACAAAACAAAACACCCAGTAACTTTATCAGTTTGAGCCAGGACATGGGGCTAAGGCAGCTACTTCAATTTATATACTGCAAGGATTTACAAGCAGAGGTGAAAGCATCACTATCCTCACAGTGTGAGACCTACTCAAATGTCCTTGTTTTTGTTATTCACCCTGCTGCAAACCACATTCAAATGACTACATGTCACAGGCTGTGAACAAACAGTTATTTCTTCACTGAAGATAAGAGAAAAGCTTCCAGCACCTCCTGTTTTGGTTTGGGTTCTTTTGCAGCCACCTATTTGGCATCAGCACCTTGATACACTCCAAAGTGGTATTAGTGCAGACAGAAAGACTGATTTTATTTTTCTGAGGGAGAGCACAAGCTGTGATTCTTCCACACTTAAATCACCATTTCAAAGTTTCCCTAGAAAATCTTTGACCTATAAGCTAGCTTCAACTTTCAACTTCAGATCTTACCACTTACCTACTTTTGACTACAGAAAATATAACCCTGTTTGAAGTCATTTTCCAGCTTCGGGACCAGACCTGGTTTAAACTGATTGACCTTCACAGGAATTTAGGAAGCTATCTTCATTTTCTGTCTTTTTTAACCAAAAGGTCTGTTCCTCTAGTCACTATAAAGTAATACCTGACACAAGAAAACCCTTATCACACGTTACTTAACAGAGTGAGCAAAGGAGCAACCTGGGCGTTCTTCTGAGAGATCAAATAACAAGTGTTCTTCTGCCAATAAAAGGCTAACTTGAGCCACCACAACTAATTCATAGTGCAGGCTTGACACTTGTTTATCTGGACAAACAATTATGAGCTGTTCTTTTGTGCCTGTGAGTACTGCGTAGGCAAGAGTCATGACTTGCTGGGTTACTTTAAAGGGCCACTGTTTAGGTACCTATTCATTGCTCAGGAAACAAGAGATGCCTGGGGCAGACTCTGAACAAGCTCAAGGACCCCAGTTTCTTCCTGGCTCCCTTCCTGGGACAGACTCCAATCTGCCCCAGCTGGAGATTTGGGGTGTGATTTCCCAAGCAGTGGGAGGGTGAAGCAAGAAAACTGTGTTTTCCTGAGGCACTCGTATCCCTCATGGCAAACTGTAACCAGGCATACAGGAACCCGAAGTAGCTTTTGAAAACAGAACTTGGGAGTGCAAACAATTCAAATGCTTCTGTAATTTTTACATGTTTCTGAACTGGGGCTTTAAAACAATTTTTCCTCATTCAGAATTTCTTAACAATAATGGTAGATCATGTAATGTTCTAGACCAGCTGCAAACAGAAATGATGATGGCAGCTAGAAATCAACACGTTTTCCTGCTGTTTCAGGCTGAAGGTGCTCTGCTGTCTGACTGCAGAGCCCAGGATGGATCAGTTCCAGGCACAATCTCTGCTGAGCTTCTGAGAAGGAGCAAGTTCCCAGGGTAATGCTTTAACAGGGAAAAGGATCCAAAGCCAGCACAAAATGGCACCTGAACAGGTTTTGGGGAAGACAGGGCAGAACAGCCAGCCATGTTGTTACATCCTTCACGATGTGGTCACGGGAATGCTGTTACTTACATCTCACATCAAATTCAGTGCAAAAGCCCTCCCATAAAGACCTCTGTTTCAGTCACTGATAAGGAGGCCTTTGGAATTTATTTTGCATATGAGAAATTGTGTATTTAAGTAAAGAGAGCTGGTCACATCCAGCCGTGACTTACAAAACCCCTGCAATATACTTGCACATGGAAAAACCTTATCTAAATGTTCCTGTGCTGCAAACCCATGCCCCTGCTTTCAAACTCAATACCCTCTTAGCTGACATTGTGGCCTTCACCTTTGAAAGGAGAAGGATAGAGACCTGCTCATAAAGAGATCCAAGAGCACAGGCTTTGCCAGGAAAGAGGCCTGATCAAAGCTTTTGGAATAGGACCCAGCACCAGGCCAAGAAAGTATCACAGATGGCATCACCCACAACCTATACACACCTGCTAATTGCCAGCAGATGCCAAGGATATCAAAAGCTTACCGGGGTGCAGAAAACAATTGGACAAATTCACAGAAAAGCCCACTGAAGCTATTAAGCACAGGATGCATCTCCAGTAGAGAGCAGGAGACCGCATCCCAGAAGGAAGTATCACCACATGCTTGGTTTATGCACTGTAGCCACTGATGAGAACCAATAAAGGACAAGTCTCTTCCCAGGCTCAGTATAGCCAAGGAAGCTCAGCCGCCCTTTTTAAGAAGGAAACAAGAGGGAACCAGAGCTCCCAACATCCCATGGCAGAAGGAAAGTTGGATGGTGTGAGCATCACCCCCACATGGATGAGAAGCCTCACACATGGATGAAGGGGTAAGGAGAAACAAGATCCACGATACGCCATCATGGAGGCAGTTGGCATTCCCATCTTCTCTCAGCACTGTAAAACCATCTGATGGTACTTTCCGAACAGTCATGTCACCGTTTGCCCTTCCCTCGTCCAGTCAACAGCACATGGTGAGCCAGCTCTCAAACTCCACCTCATCCACTTCCTTGCTCCAAGCTAGATCAGTTACAGCTCATCCTTCCAGGCAGATGTCTACTGAGTCTGTTCCTTGAGAACCTCCAGCAACAGCAACATTAGCTCTTGCCAGATCATCTGGCTCCACTGCTGAAAAAACCCAAATCCACAGCAAAGAGCAAAGGAGCTGACAAACGTGTCTGTGCCAGGTTAATATGCTCCCAAATAAATGGCTTGCTACTACATTAAATGTAGTGTCTTTTTAAGGTTTATCCCAGTTCACAGCAACTGAGAAATTAACTTTACACTTTTTTTCCCCCTCCTTTTGTTTGTGCCAGCCTTATCCAAGGCATTTTTTGCAGGTATGAAAAACTAACAACACAAGGTCAGATTTAAGGGCATCCTCCATATAAACCAAAAAAATCTATGGAGATACAACCCTTCTCCCTAGCCAGGCAACTCACTGTATCTGTGCTTTTCATTAGCAAAGTGAAAGATGATGCAGAAATGCCCTTCACTTTAGACACACATTTCACCATAAAGAGGCTGCCCAGCTAAAGCCCTCATTTTTAAAGGGGAACTAGAAACATTTGGCTTGTTCAGAAAAATAAACCAACTACAATTAAAGTTCTGGGATTTGCTACTGTCAGGACAACCTGTCGGCTTTTCCCATCAAGCTCTATCCCTTATATAGACTATAACAACAGTAAGGCTGCTTTAGAAGCTTGGTTTCACCCATCACTGAGACTTTACCAAAGGCCAATGGATTTAGCCAGGCAATGTCCCTCTCTTTATAGATAAACAATGCAACTGAATAATCCTGGGGATTCATTAAAATAATAACTCCACATAATAAAAATGTCAAAGCCTCAGTATATGCTGGCAGAAGTACAATACCTTCTCTCCTTGTTAAACGACAGCCTGATAAAGATTTATGTCACGTACACGCTTTCAGGAGTACAACACTATCCAAGGTGACTGCCCTGCTGGTTTTTGATCACCGTAATCTTATTTTTGAGCAAGAAGTGCTGGTATGGCTTGAGAAATGAGCAATAAGACCTTATCACATAAATTAGTTCTCTTCAAGGCAGCACTAATGTTGATAAGATGTCTGCTGATAGCATGTCATGCAGAAGGATGAGACAAGCAAGTGACTACGTGGAACCCTGGAAGTAAAAGGGAGCAGGGCCCAGCTCTAAGAGCTGCCCTAGACCTGTGAACTCTTAGCAAAGGCTTTACCTGGGGAAACAAGCTCACATGAGCCACTTGGAGATGAAGGCACCATCCAGGCTGGCTACTTCATCTCTTCAGCTGAGGATACCTTCCAGCAGACAGATGAAACAGGCACCATAAATAACAGAGGGCAGGAACAACGCATCTGGAGATAGACTCTAACCACAAGATAGTCCTGCTAACCACAACATGAACATCCACCAAACAGCCAGGAAGAGATACTGCTTTACTGAGCTTGCTTTGCTGCTCTTTCACATCTAAGCAGTTCAATCCTGTTCTGCTAAACCCATGAAGTCAAAGTTCAGTTTCACATTTACTTTCACTGGCTCCTTTCTGAAGGCTTAGGCTCCTTAGGCAAAATGAGCATGTGAGAGCTGCACTGCTGCTGCACAGCTACCTTGCCCCAAAACTGAAAGGTAGAGGCACTGAAACACTGGCAGGCACCTCACAGGCTACATTCCAAAATACCTTCTACTTGAGTACAAGTCTCCCCTCTTAAGAGAGGGCTGAAGACGCACAGAAATAGCCCTGCCATCACACCCAGCCTCGGTGCTAATCTACTGGCCTTTCGTATAAGGGAGCCAGATACCAGGCTGGGGGGTGTTTGGTAGCCCAGGCCACTGATGAAAACCAAAGAGCCCAGGCTAGAGCCACAGCTGTGACAGGCACACATGCACTCAGATTCACTGCCTACATGTACTAGGTTAGGTGTGGGACGTGTCCTGCTTTTAGATGTGTTTGTGTCAGGTGGATGTGGCAGGAAGCAGTACCCATGCTTGCTTGCATCGGGGCCTATGCTCACTCATCCTTTTATCTTCCTTCCATGCTTTCATCTCTCTTCTGCCCCAAGTTCCTGGTGGCGTGATGCTACGTAACAGGATGAGCCATCTCTTTTGCAATAGGACTGGCTCACCCTCCTTTCAGTTGAGGGTCACTGGTCCCTTCACTTACTGTATTATCAACATGACACACTTTCTTTTCTTCTTCCTGCTGTTTATTGCTGGAAATCAGTTTGATCAGAACCAGTGAATCATAAAGCCAGCAATAAAAAAAGTCATGAAGCCAAGAGGCTCAGAGCTCACAGCACTTGTAGCTTTTCTGCCTGCAGGGAGATATCGGTCTCTCCCTTCCCTTGAAATGAAACTGCTTCTAACAGCCTGTGCTGGAGGGGAGCAGGATCTGCAGGCTTAAGTTAGCAAGTAAAATACACCTGGAAACCCAAGTTACAGAGGCCTGCAGCACTGAAATACATTCTAGCTAACTGTGTGTAAGCAAGGTGTTAAGAGGTGGAAATGGGAGGAACAAATGGGTTTTACCTACATTCTGAAATTGAAGCAGTATTTGGTTCTTTACCATAACACTCTGTTCAAGAAAACAAGCACAATATTCAGAAAGCATACATACTATACAACACACCTGGGGAATGGAGGGAACAACCACCAAGAAACCAGGAAGAGCACGAAGCAAACAAGCAGAACTTGTGGTAACGAACCCACCTCCCTCCCACATCCCAGCTCAGTGAAATATTTTGGTGCTACTTGCTCCCACCACCTTTTAAATTTCCAGGTGTCTCTAGAGTTCCCAGTGTTAGCCTGGGATCAGAGAAGGCTGCCCTACCATGCTGAAAGCCATTCCTGCAACATGCCTGAAAAGCTCTGCATGTTACAGATGACATTAGATTTACTGCAGCTGCAACAGCCCTGCCTATAAATCTGTTTGTTGGCTGCAGACTTTGCCCAGATCCCCTCAGACGACAGGAAGTCTTGCACTGGCCTGACAGTTTGTTTCAGCAGTCATTTCTCCAGGGCACAGTATTAATGTATCTTCATTGTTCATTCAAATATCTGCACTGTTAGTCAAATACAGAATTGTCTTCCATAAACCCACAGCCTGAATCAAAGATGGAAAAGGCTTGTATGCCCATAGAAACTGCACTTTTGGGTTGCCTAACCCATCTCAAGAGACTTTAAAAACACTGAAGCACTAACAGTAGAAAGCTCAGAACAGACTGCGTTCTACAACCTGCTGCTCTTGGCCACCTCCAAGACACAATGCTTTTAAGAAAGCAAAATAAAACAGCTGAGCAATGGATTTCATTACTGTTATTTATGCTGAGTGGAACATTTTCTTCCCTAATAGTATGACAGGCGAATCAACGGCGAGGCCTGGCCAGCCGCCAGCCCCAGTGGTAAGCACTGGAGAGCATGCTTCCCCAACCCATGCAGATAGCATCTTACAACCTGAGGCATACAGTTTGATTACCCTTATCTGAATGTGCATGTTGTTTGTCTCAATACAGTTGCTTGGATGCAGAAATAACCTCAATGACTTCCCATAACGCTGGATTCCACTAAGCCTGAGACACTAAAGAGGCATTTCAGACACTTGCTCCAAGTTTGTTAGCAATGTGAAGCCCCATCAGCCTGATCCATCAGCAGTCTAAATCCTAACAGAATTCTACTATGATGTGACACAATCACTTTTCCATGCAAGCTTTTCTGAATCAGACAATTCCTGATGCTCAGTTTTTTCCCAGGACCCTCTCAGAGCTGATGGAACCATGTTTTTATATAACAACAGAAGCCATCACTGCTACACAGAGGATCACATTAAAAACTGAATCCTAAAGTCTCAAACACCAGAATGCAAATGAAAAAGAGTTTCTATGCATTTGGCACTTAGGGACATAGTTTAGTGGTAGACTTGGCAGTGGTGGGTTAACAGTTGGACTCCATCTTATAGGTCTTTTCCAACCTAAATGATTCTATGATTCAAACTAGTGTTTGTACAAAAGATATTCTAAGGTTAGAAAAGTGCTGACTTATGATTTGCCAGACCCCTAAAACAGCCAGCATGCAGAAAGTCTGGAGAACAGGAAAACAGCTAAAAACCAAGGGCTCTAGCAGCCAAGAGAATGAGGACACGAAAGAGATGATCAGAAAGCTGAACTTAAGCCCAATTTCAAGTGGAAATCAATGAATATTCAAGTTCCCTTAATGCAGGCGTAGATAGCCAGAAAGATGTACAACAGTTAACAATTCATTTGCAATGGTGGTTGAGATATCTGCATCTCACAATACAGAGAGGAAAAAACTGGAGAGCAACAGATGGAGGTCAGCAAGAGCAGAATCAGACTTTTCAAGCATTGCTTATACCAGACACCGCAGAGAAGATGAAAATTGCAAATCCCTTTCCCGGTGGTTGTCTCAGGTTAGACAGCTAGCACAACAGCTGTGGGTTAAGACAAAAACAAGGTCCCCAAGTCTCTGCCTGCATTACACCTCCCGTATTTCTCCATTTCCAGATGGACTCTTACAGGCCAGAAAGCAGACATCTCCTGCTAGACGCACAACTTTTAGCAAGCCTCTTCTTGAAAACAGTTGATTATATATTGCTGTCATAAATTCAGCCTAGTAACAGCTGGGACAGATTTACAGGGGATGTGTTTTTTTATGACTATCTATTATTCATGGTGTGCTAGCCCTTACAATGTGTTTAGCCAAGGAAAAAAAGAGAAAGATAAGATACCCTCTGGTTGATTATTGACAGATACTTGGCAGCTTGTGTCTCCAGGACTGCCTCGTCACAAAATGAATCCAGCCTCTTAACACTGATTCTGTAACTTGACCATGTCAGAGTGGGAAATGAGGTGCACTGAAGAGGACGGGGCAATCATTAGTAACAAACACTGTATTTTTGTCTCTTAAATCTCAGGCAAAAGTTTACCGGAGCAGCTAAGCTGTCAGCATAGCAAGTGTGCGGTAAACACTCCCTCAGGAACAGCCACAGCAAGAACACACATCCCTCCACAGGAAAGCAATGTCTGCTCTACAGATATCACGGCCATATGAAAGAGGGCTTCGGGTGATGAGTCCCAGGAGACTATGCCAGGTATCAGTCAATTACAGATGTCCTTTAGGAGACGGACAAGAAGCCAATCTCAACTCACCCTGAAGAACACCTCTGCTAACACACACTGCTTCACCTGCCTAGACATCTACACAGGCATCTTTTGCTAAGCTATTGACAATACAGATCAGTGCCTGGATCATGATTCACACCAGACTTTAGGAGACATGGATATCAACTGCAAAGCCACTAGAGAGAATAAAAGTCAATCAGCCTCAGGCTGTTCAACATGGTATTCCCAGAGACATCACTCTTCTTTCTAAGCAAACCAGAAAACCCAGGACACTACACTGAACTGTGTTGTTCTTCAGCAGTTGAAGCCTGGTTTCTCCCAAGCTGTATGCCCTGAACTTCCTTAGTTTTGAGTAGGAGAAAGCTTGCAAGGGTCAGGGGGAACCAGAATCACAGAATCATAGAATAGTCAGGGTTGGAAAGGTCCTTAAGATCATCCAGTTCTAACCCCCCTGCCGTGGGCAGGGACACCTCACACTAAACCATCTCACCCAAGGCTTTGTCCAAACTGGCCTCGAACACCACCAGGGATGGAGCATTCACAACCTCCCTGGGCAACCCATTCCAGTGCCTCACCACCCTTACAGTAAAGAACTTCTTCCTTATATCCAACCTAAACTTCCCCTGTTTCAGTTTGAACCCGTTACCCCTTGTCCTGTCACTACAGTCCCTAATGAAGAGTCCCTCCCCAGCATCCCTATAGGCCCCCTTCAGACACTGGAAGGCTGCTATGAGGTCTCCACGCAGCCTTCCCTTCTCCAGGCTGAACAGCCCCAACTTTCTCACCCTGTCTTCATACAGGAGGTGCTCCAGTCCCCTGATCATCCTCGTGGCCTCCTCTGGACTTGTTCCAACAGTTCCATGTCCTTTTTATGTTGAGGACACCAGAACTGCACACAATGCTCCAGGTGAGGTCTCACGAGAGCAGAGCAGAGGGGCAGGATCACCTCCTTCAACCTGCTGGTCACGCTCCTTTGGATGCAGCCCAGGATACGGTTGGTTTCTGGGCTGTGAGCACACAATGAAGCCGGCTCATGTTCACTTAGTCACTGATCAACACCCCCAAGTCCTTCTCCTTGGGCTGCTCTGAATCTCTTCTCTGCCCAACCTGTAGCTGTGCCTGGGATTGCTCCCACCCAGGTGTAGGACCTTGCACTTGGCATGGTTAAACCTCATGAGGTTGGCATCAGCCCACCTCACAAGCGTGTCGAGGTCCCTCTGGATGGCATTCCTTCCCTCCAGCTATCAACCGAACCACACAGCTTGGTGTCATCAGCAAACTTGCTGAGGGTGCACTCAATCCCACTGTCCATGTCAGCGACAAAGATGTTGAACAAGACTGGTCCCGACACCGATCCCTGAGGGACACCACTCATTACTGGTCTCCAGCCGGACATGGAGCCATTGACCACAACTCTTTGTGTGCGGCAATCCAGCCAGTTCTTTATCCACCGGCATTCTTTTTGCCACCAGCATTCCTGACCCCAGCTCAGTCTTGCCACTATCATTCTTAAAAAGGAGAGACAGGGATGAGCTAGGTCCCTCACTTTACTTACATATATAGAAGCAGGCACTAAAACACTAACCGTAAGTTTTTACCTTGCCTCTATGCTACAGAGTTCAGGTGCTGCTCAGGAATGATATCCCTGATGCACTTTAAGCATCTAAGGCCTGATCGTAAAATGATGGCATGCAGGTACAGTATCTTTCTGAGGCTGAACTTCCCCAAAAGAGGAAAACTAGGGGAGAAACCTGCAGAAACATGATGTTGAGCGGAGGTACCAATACAGAAGACTGCCCTTAAGCCCTCTGAATGCACTGTGACTACAGCAGCGGAATTCTATCTAAGGACAAGTTCATCCCCACCCTCACATCCCAGCAGCTCATCGCAATCCTCTTGGAAGTTGACTGTCCAGACTCTTCAGCTATGCAGCACTTGGTTCTCCCCTCAGTTTGGTTTGCTTCATGACCCTTCAAGACACCACTGTAAGTATGCAGGCAGCAAGACAAGCTTTCCATCTGTATCCTCCTCTGAGCTGAGGATCTCTGCCAGCAGCACAAACAGGAGAGGGGTTTTTTGGTCAACTGCGCAGGCTCCTCCTACTGGGAATTACACGGGCTGATTTCAAGCCTCAGCTTATTTTAATCTTGATCAAGTCATTTCATCCCTCCAGAGCTTTTCTTTCCAGCCTGGCTTGTCTGCTGTTGACTATTAAAGATGAACCTAGGCCAAGTAAACAAGAGTTCTTTAATGAGCTTTTCCTTCGCAGCAGTCATGTGAAGTACTGTTTGCTTGCACAGCAGAAATAGCTAGACCCAAGGTGAATGTGTTTTATTATTGACCTTGCAAAGTTCATTGTGCTCACAATTCCCTCACTTAGAAAGACAATCAAGAGATTGAAAATAGCTTCTCAGAAGAGTCCCCCTTATAACCTGAAGTGTTGTGTTAACTCTCATTCATCATCTGTTTGCTTTGCCTGTTTGCTAAGTACCTCACCCCAACCCTTCATATGACTTCTTCCTTTGGTTAATTCCATGCATGACTTGACTTCTAAACTGCAAGAGGTCACCTGACACACAGCACTGTCAAACATTAACTCTGCAAGTACCCTGGTTTCACCAGGACACCAGCTGCTCATACGTCCTGACACATCTTGAGTCCCCAGACTAGGTCATCCCGCCTACCACACTCACCTATGCTTCTATCTGCTCTTACTACCTCACTGCCAGGAGCCATGTGCCTTTAGACAAAAGATAATCTATCAGTTACATGCTCATCACTCCAGTGCACAAGTTCTAAGCAGCCACCCACCACTAGCAGAGAAACCAGGAATCCCTCTCCCCAAACATTTAACAATGCCCTTGAAAGCCCGGTTTCTGTTTGCATGTCTTTACTAGGCACTAGTGACAAAAGCCTGAACTTAAACAACAAATACCTT